GGTCGTTGATTAATTGACATCAGAAATATGTTTTTCTTGCTTTTAAAATCGACTTTTGAGGATTGTGATTGTTTTAAATGGATGTTGAATATTTATGAAAATTGATGCATTCCCGTAAATGGGTATTATGTCTCTCAATTAACGGTGTTACTGGTTTTAACAGTTTCCGATACGTATCCTCGTCCATCCTCAAGTAATTGTGCCAATCACCAGCCTCCAATCTTATCTCCTCCAGTAATTTTGTTTGTGACAGTGTAGTGCGTTTAAGTAGCCCGTCTTTAGTACATTTTCTTCCAGATTTTCTTTTTTCGCGATTTTTTTTCACTGCCAAAACCGCTGCCACTGCTTACAAGCACGTACGGTCTATCGTGATAAACTGGCGCGAAAAAAACTGTTGTGTGGGGACATATCAGTCAACGTCTTTCCTTCCAACGTTTTTAACCGTCGGTTAAAAACGGCGAAGAAGAACGAGGTGAGTGGGGCCCTTAAAAAATATATTTTACTTTGTCTAGGAGAATACAATATAGCATTTATTTTTTAAATTTAATCTCCAAGTTTAAAATGTATGAATAATTTGTATTAGGTATTGTATTACATAATATTATTTTAACTTACTTGTATAACTTACTTGAAGACGGACCAAGTTGAGAAGTGAATAAAATAGGAATTGCTTCCAGCTCTAAATTCGTATTTTCTGGCAGAATTCGTAACAAAATAATATTATAAAATGTTTCCAATATGTTTTATATTTCCAATTTATGTTAAACTTCAACCTTCTCTAATTCTAGGATTTAAATACAAATTTCCATTGCTTCAGTTTGTAGGAAGCCTGCGTAAAAAATTACTAATCATATTTTACAATATAGATGTACCGCCCATGTGTTTTATTTACTTACCTTTGAAACGACGTGGAACTTCTCCAAATTTGTTTTAGGGCAAACAAACATTGAATAATAATTTTTAGAGTTGCAACTAACAAAATTCGTTAAACAAACATTCTAGACATTCTTAAAACTTTAAAAATATGCCCTGGGAATATAAAATCACACAAATGCTTGTTGAAAGTTGTGAGTAAATGGCGCTACTATTTAAAATAGACGAATCACATCAAAGACCAAGAAGAAAGAGAAAGTAATAGATAAAACGGTTCATATTAGCTTCAAACAAATCCAGACCGGTACTTATCTATTATTCATTTGTTTATCTGAGGGGAATAGTTTAATTTTTCAGTGTAACGGCAGGTTTCGATAGGTTATGTTTTCTTGTCAGATGTGTTAAGAAACGCTAAGCAGTATTTTCAATATAACTGACAAAAATTAAGGCATCTTATAGTTTTTACGGTACAGCAAAGAAGCAGAGGTAAGCAAGTATGCATATTTTATAAACATTTTGTTGATTTTAGCGTTTTTTTTTTTTGGGAAAAAGGGGGGGATGGCAATTACTGGATCTGTTCTTTTTAAATGTTTCAGTAATAGTCACGAGTGGCAATTACTGGTGTATTTTAAAATAATTTAGTTAGCCCCGAATATAATGAGATAATAAAGTCTAGAATTCCAAATTTTTATGTTTTAAATATGAGCAAGATATTTTGAAAAACCCATTAATTGCCACTGCTTCTTTAAAGTGGTAATTATTGGTTAGCTATAGTGGCAATTTTTGGTTTAGGATACTAAAATGGAAAAAGCAAAGAAACCTTTCTTTTAATATTCATAAGAAAGCATGGAGGCTGCTATTGCAGCTTGTAGAAATGGAATGCCATATTCTACTGTGGCGAAAATGTATAAAGTACCAAGAAATACGTTAAAAAATAAAGTTTTGGCAAAAACACCACTGTAACGAAAAATGGGTCCTTCAAGTGTTTTAACTAAAACAGAGGAAAATGCCATTGTAAAATTGATAACCACAATTTCAAGCAGGGGAGTTTCCCCTCATAAAGATGGTCTATTATCAACAGTTCAAACAATTATCAAAAACATCCAACATAAAAATTCATTCGTAAATGACAAACCTGGTAGGAAATGGTTAGAATCATTTTTTAAGAGAAATCGGTCAAAACTTTTTAATGTTTGGCTTAAGGCAAAAAAAGAACATGATTTTAAAAACAACATCCTCCCAAGAGTCACAATAGTAAGTATAGAAGTCACTGAAAATATTCCTGTTGCTTCAACAAGTCATCAGAATTTATCTAGTACTTTAGAATTGGATGGAAGCAAGTTAACCGCAACGACAAGTACTTCAGAACTTTCCAAAGAAATTACCCCTCCAAAGAATATTACAAATAATTTGATTGAGATTTTCAAGACTCCTGATATCCCAGTGCAATCTTGTAATAACCGAACTCCAATTTTACATGAAGATTCAAAATCAAGCCTTGGAACTCCATTTGAAAGAGCACTAATATGGCCAGAAGTCAAAGAAAAGACAAAGAGAAGGAGAAACTTGGAGAAAATTCCATCTGTAGTGACGTCCAAAGAGTGGAAAAAGTTTATGTTACTAAAGAAAGAAAAAAATAAAAATTAAGAGAAAGCGAAAGAAGAGCGAAAAAGAATAAGAGAGGGGAAAAAGCAAATGAAACTCCAAGAAAAAGAAAATAAACAGCAGACTTTAAATAAAATTTAAAAAATAAGTAAACAGCAAAGAGCAAAGTCAAGAAAAGTCAGCACATCCGATTCTAGTACACCTGAAGAATGGGAAGCTTCAGAAGAATCAGTTGGAAAATCTATTATGTACAAGGAAAATGATTATATATTAGTGACCTTTCCAGGAAAAAAGGGAACATGGGTATGTGTGTGTAATTCAAGCCCTTCTACCCAACAATGAAACAGAAGTGGTTGGTTTAAAGAAATGCGATGATGGGAAAATGTTTAAATTAAATGAAGTTGATATCAGTGTTCTCAGTTTGAATCAAATTATAGAGAAACTACCCTTTTCAACAATAATCAATTCAGGCGATCGTTCCAAATACGAATTTAAAAAAGAAGTTTTTGTTGATGGTTAACTACAATTCATATCTAAGTTGATTTTTATGTTTAATTTTTTTATTAGACTTGAGTATTAACTTTTTTGTTATACTTAACCGAATTTTTATTTTATTTTAAAATATACAAGTGTATTAGATACAATTTACAGTATTCTTTTTATTTCTGTTCTTTTTGCTTGCACATGCCAAACTTGGCATTGGCCATTACTGGCCAATTACAGTGGCAACCACTGGATTTTCTAAAATATGATTATAACAATTACTCGTACTTTTGACTAACATGAAAAAATATTTCATATTAAAGAAAAATTCACATGTTTTGTAAGATATTACAACTAATATCTCTCAGTGAATCATTACTACATACTATGATTTTGGGTAAACAAAAGAAAAGTCATGTTTTATATTTTTTACAATTTACTTCATGTAAATGCTTGCTTATAATGGCAATTACTGGTGCCTTTACCCTACTGAAAATATTTGAATTTTACAAAAAATGAAGCAAAACATTTTATCACGAATATTTCTTGTGTGAAATAGAGAAACTTTTTTCTACATCACATGAATATTGGGTATTCTACGCATAGACTACAAAATGAAACAGTATGCCATTGGGTTCAACTAAACTAACATATTTCATATCCATCCTACCTAGTAAGAAAAAATAGTAGTTTGTGCAACAAGAGTGGAAATGATGGTCACATTGTACGAAGACTTAGACAATCCACTCGAGTTATGCAGAATATTTTTTCTACGATCCACTAACGAATATTTACAAATAAAAAGTAATGTTTTAGGTAATTAAGACAAAATAACTAATTCTAAAATAATTTATGACTTTTATTAATTTTTTTGAATAATATAAACGACAAAACAAGAAGAAAAGTTCATTTCATTTCTCTCCATCTGAGAATCGAACTCGAGTCTTCTGTGTGGAAGGCAAAAACGCTGACCACAGCACCATCTATGCTTTTATTCTTATTGCTTTAATACTCGTAATTCAATAGTTTTATTTAAATTAACAAATTACGTATAATTATAGACGAAATAAAAAAAAATCCCATTATTTATCGATTCTACACAAGAATAACCCATTTTAATGTATTTTAATCTTAATAACTAAAAAATATACTGACAATTAGTTTGGCAGAATTGTCACTTATTTAAAATTTTAAAAATAAAAGCAGTCGGTTTATCAAATGATAAACGGTGATTGGTGGATATCATTTTTTTGCAGTGTTGTCACTACCTAGAATGGATATTAACTATATTAAAAATATCTGTATACAGATAGGAAAGTAATTATCCTTCTGTTTATACATTTTAACTTCACGCTATTATTTAATGGTATTTTCTTTTTGACAGAATAGCTTAATTCTTTAAAGACAACTTATTAGACCTAGGCAACTTCTCATACATTTTCCCGTAAATACTGTTGCCTGTATATATTTTATTATTAATATTTATTGATTATACTTAGTTGTTTTTTAGTTTAAGCGACAAAAATATAAAATAATAATAAATTAATGTTTCACTTCTTTTACAAATCCATATACTTTTATTAAAACTAACATATATACACTTTTTAATTACGAATTATATTAAAAATTGTATTGTCAGTATACGCAAAAATAGTCCATTAGCACATAAATAAATTGGCGCTGCTATCACGTAAGGAACAAATAGAACATAGTACATAAAATATGTCTAGAATTTTCTGAAGAATCCAAAAATTGAAAAATATACAGGGTGTTGCATTTAAAATAAGAAAGTTGGTATTGGCCACTGTTACATGACACACCCTGTATAAAAAGGTTTTGTTAAAAAAAATGCGCAACTAAAACTACCAATCGACGTGTTTCCGAACACGCCCACATTTATTTATTACCGAATTTATACCATTTGGCTGTTTTACACCGTATAGTTGTATTTTCTTACTACTTAATTAGACAATAGTTGTGATATTATACTTTTTATATATGTATGACGTTAAGTTTAATTACTGTTTTTTTTTTTGTAGGTTCATGAATTGACCATTAAACCTGTAAATGAGAAATTTTAATTAATTTTCGTTTTATATGGAACTTCTCGAAAAGTTGAATATTAAAGTATTTTACACAATTTGGTGTTTTATTTATTGAAAATAAATTATAATTAACATAAATTATCCATCAACAAAATCAAATTGCAGTAATATTTACCTTGTTATTTAGATACCTATTCGATTAAGGCGCTTTAATTTGAAATTATGTGTTTTGATTTTAACGATTCATAACTTCCAAATTTGTTAATAAATTAACATTTAAAATATTTGACAAAATTCTTGAAATTCAAAACTACCAATCCACGACCATATCACCCTGTATCTTCCATAATAATTGTCATTAACTGGCTTGTTTTTTGCAAGAAACAATATTTACAGGAATAAAAAACACCGGATTAACGTTAAAAATTCTATTAAATCAAAGAACCATCTAAACATCACGGCATTAAGAAAACCTTTACATTAAATCCTTGTACTATTTAGAGAAATTTTAAAGAAATTAAATCTAACCGCGTCTCTTCTCAACTGAAGATTACATTATACTACTTTTCGAATTTCAACCAACTACCTTTTGTGGTGTCTAAAGATACACTCTCCATAAGAATAGTCGCAGGCTGTGCACAAGTCATTTAAAGAAAATAGACATTTTATCTATTACACTAAGATTTTATAGAATTTGTTATACAAGAAATTACTCTTGCAATTGTCCGGTGAAAATTAGAAATACGAAGTTAAGTTAAGTACTACCATATGCTTCACTGGTACAACGCTTGAATTCAGAAACTGTGAGCTGTGACAATGATTAATAACGAAATAATTTATCACTCAAGAGTGGTTCAAATAATTTGAATAGCCATTATACATTTGACTTGTTCAACTCTTGTTATTACAGATTCACTTAAACTGATATATTAGGCAACCATGAACTTTGTTTTGTTGGCTTTCAACCATTGAGATTTATTAAAGAGGAGATGCTATGACACCTTTAACTCATTTGACAAATACGATAATTATGTTACGTCTTGCAACACTGCTCTCACTGTTGATATGATTTCTTATAATTTTAGTCGAGTGACATGCGCAGCAAGGCCAAATCTCACGCTCATTTTCCCATAGTTAGAAAATAGGCTCACTGCATACGTATTGTCTAATATAGTGAAGTACAGCGGTATCACGAAGAATATGGCAAGATATGAATATGGATATAAATATGTAAATGAAAAGTTTAAACTCATCTTGCGTAACGTCTTTTCACTAATATCCCAATACCGTATTTTACGATCAGCACTACATATATAACAATAACTTGGATGACAGAAAAGCTGATATAAAGGGGAATGCCCATTAGGCCCACTTTTGGGGTATCTTTTCTTAAGATCCATCCTACCTCTATTGGGCCTTTCTGTCCGTAGACAAGGGGAAAAGTACAATTTTTGAGCCCTACTATTGAGGTTCCGCAAGTACTAAGGGTGGCTTAAGGCTCTTTTTCGGCGCTTTGGTCTTTTGCTCTAATTATTGACAAATCTATGCTATAATTGACAGCTCTGAAACCACAAGCTGTAGTCCCACCACAATCTCGGCACATTTTTCTGAAAGGATAACAATTATACCAGAGATCTATAACCTATGTGTTAAAGTAATGCTCAGATGAGCCTAATATGTCCATTTACCTTAACATATTAGGAACCTAAAATTATATTGTTGCCCGCCGCTCTACATATTCACTCTTTAAAAAAACCCAACAAAATTGAAATCTCAACGTTTAGAAATAAGACATGATTTTACCCATTTTTGCATCACACAGAATGAAAGAAATAGGGGTCAACTTTCGTTTAGCCGAAATCAGTTACGTAAAAACTGTTACCATGGTAACCGTTGCCATGGTAACCAGTAAACAAAAACCCAAATCTCGTAATGAGGAAATGCATAGTTGCCAAGTTATAGATTATTTAATGTTTACTCTAGTTTTGACGAAATCAGTTATGATAAAACTGTTGCCATGGGAACACTTGACATAGTAACGACTAAATAAAAAGCCAAATCCCATGGTGAGGAAATGCGTGGTTGCCAAGTTACAGATGATTTAATTTAGCTGTAATCAGTTACGGAGAAACTCTTGCCATAAAGACACTTGTCTTGGTAAAGACTAAACAAAAACCCAAATCCTGTGGTAGGAAAATTCATAGTTGGCAAATTACAGGTCATTTAATTTTCACTTTAGTTTAGTTGAAATCGGTTATGGAGATGTCGTGATGTCGACTAAACGAAAACCTAAATCTAGTGGTGAGGAAATGCGTAGTTGCATCTTATATTTAGATTAACTCTTAACACAATATCCTAATCTAAACTAAAGTGAAAATAAAATCATCTATAACTTGGCAACTAGGCATTTTCCCACTACGGGATTGGTTTATTCACTAGCATGACAAACGTTTCCATGGCAACAGTTTCTCTATAAGATCACGCTACGCTCCTCCCAACCGCAACCTAACTACTACAGAAGAAAGCGAGCGAAGCGAGCGCGCCTGGCCGACGTTTCGAAATTCGCGTGCGCGAATTTCGAAACGTCGGCCAGGCGCGCCCTTTTTCCACCTACATCGTAAGAGTACGCTACGCTCCTCCCACCCACCTCTTAACTACTGCAGAGGAAAGTGAGCGCGCCCGGCCGACGTTTCGAAATTCGCGCGCACGAATTTTGAAACGTCGGCCGGGCGCGCCATTTTTCCACCTACATCGTAAGATCACGCTAGGCTCCTCCTACCTACCTCTTATCTACTACAAAGGAAAGCGAGCGAAGTGAGCGCGCTTGGCCGACGTTTTGAAATTCGCGCGCGCGAATTTTGAAACGTCGGCCGGGCGCGCTCTTTTTCCACCTACATCATAGGATCACGCTACGCTCGTTCCACCCACCTACTAACCACTACTTGGCAACTACGCATTTCCTCACCATGAGATTTGGAATTTTGTTTAGTCCTTAGTATGATAAGCGTTTCCATGAAAACAGTTTTTCCGTAACTGATTTCGGCTAAACTAAAGTGAACATTAAATAATCTATAACTTGGCAACTACGCATTTCCCCACTATGAAATTTGGGTTTTTGTTTAATCGGTAACATGACAAGCGTGCCCATGGCAACATTTTTTGCATAACTTATTTCAGTTAAACGAAATTAAACAAAAACCGTAATCATCTACAACTTGGCAACTTCCTCACCATATGATAAGGGTGTTTGTTTACTTATAGCCATCATAATTGTTATTATGACAACACTTTTTGCATAACATATTTCGGCTAAACGAAAGTTGAGCCTTTGTGACAGCTACTGCGGAAAGTAACATATTCGTACACGGGTGGAAAGTAAATTCTTATTTATACGCGTGTGATATATGGCACTTTCCATAGGACTATATAGTGTGATATGTGTCACTTTCCTAAGTGGTCGTAGGAAAACCTTATTATCGTAATTTACTTAATATTATAATAGGACGACAAATAAATATAATACTATTTAAACATCTGTTTACCATTTAAATGAACGCAAAGGCCCCCAAAAACAGGTCATTGGTCATTGGTTTCCTGAACCCCAAAATACTAAACGGCTTTGACACTTGATTCTCATGATCATAAACAGGAAGGGCTTAATTTATTAGTTGTTGTGGCTGGATTTAAAATAATTGATTTTTATGACCGTAATTATAATTCTTAATTATTACCAAATGAAATAAAATGAAATGCACTGACTATAAAATGAAAAAAACTACCCACATAACTTAACAATTACAATTAAATAAATTTTACCCAAATAAGATCGGTTTCCCTTTTTAACACATATAATTAATCAAAAAATGATACTTGTAATAAAATCATACTCTAACGGCGTTTCCGAGACTTTAAACCAATAACCGTAGCGTCTAAAAGAAAATACGATTAACATGGGAACCTCACAGCAAAGAAAAAAGATATCGCCCAAAAGTAGAACGACAATCGCAATACTTTTAGTCGTATACCACAAATTTTATAAGGTTTGGATCAAAGGTACTAAATAACTCGCTATTTATTTATCAGGCGTCTAACCAAGACAAGTTAAGCAAAGAATCCAGTAGCTCCGAGTTGCAATCCTACAAAACCATTAGAAGAGAGAAAATTTAAGCTCTTTTAAAACGTCCTTCTGTTTTGCCACTTGATAGGTAACAACTACCTCTCGATATTCAAACATATAACGAAAGAAGTCACCTTAAAGATAACTGTGTATAGCGCAACAAAAGTCGTCTCATACAGAAAATAATTTGTCTGTTCCCTCGATATCTTTTACTGCGTTTTCCAATTAAACAAAAAAGCTGTCACCTTATAGTTGACGAGATAAACCTTTCAATATACTGGAAAAGTATATAGAAAGGAGTCACCTTAAAATTAACGGAATCTTACCCTTTTTTGTCAACTGGACTTGAGAAAGGCAGGAAGAATTTTGACCCTGTTCTTAGTTTTTTTTTTTTTTATTTCAATATTCACTTTTTACATTTTTCTAGGAAATTTTATTTTTCCTTATACCCTGCTATAGGAGTTATCTTCCTTTTCAGGGTGATTTGCCCTGAGTACAATAAGTAACCTAGCTATTTCCCAAGTCGTCATGTGCGCATGTGGGAACTGTGTGGCAGGTTGTGTTCCCCGAAAATATCGCCAATTTTGCTATTTCCAACCCCGTAAATGGACAAGTCCAAGTATAAGGTGGGGAATATGATTTAGGGAAACCACGGAAACCTAAATTACGATATTGTACAAATAGTACGAATTTCTAATTACAAGATTGGTACGGGTTTTATCTGAGTGTGTGTTGGTGCCTTTCAGCGCGCGAGAGACGTATTATTTCCTGACAGTTTGGAAACGTGTGAGGATGAGGATGAGGGTGTTGGAGATGTTTTCGAATACTCCTCCGCTGAGAAAGCGATAGGGGAGGTATTGGCAAGGGAGTTTATTTTGCAAAGCCCCATTCGTCCGTACAAAGCCTCAAGGAGGCTGGTTCGTTTTTGCATCTTATCAAGAGAGC